CGCCGGGGGAGGGGCCGGCATGGCGGGCCGGGGGCGCCCGCCCCTCCTTGCCCCCCTCCCTGCGCCGCCCGCCTGGCAGGTGGGTGCCGCGGCGGGCGGCCCGGCGGCGATTGTGAGGTGCGCGGTTGGGTCACTGAGGCGGGATTGATGCGCAACGCGGGGCGGCGGCGGCGGCGGCGGGAGCGGCCGGGGCAGCAGTGCGCCGCCGGGGAGCCTCGGAGGGCGCAGAGCGGCGGCGGCGGGGCGCGGGAGCGGGAACTTTCGGTAAACTTTCGCCTGGGGGAGCGGGGCGCGGGCGAGTCGGGCACCCCGCACTGCGCGTCCGCCGCTTCGGAGGCGGCCCCGGTTTGGGCGCCCCGCCCGCGGGTCGCATCCGGCGCGTCCCTGGGAGCATTCGGGCGCCTGGAGCGCAGCGGGCGTCGCTCCGGAGGGCGGTGAGGCGCCTCGCCTCCATAGCGGGGCTCGCGGGAAAGTGCTCCCCCCGCGCCCGGGGTGCAAGCCCGGCTTGCACCGAGCCGCCCCTCGGCCTCGATCGCGGGAAGCACGTGCACCTGCTTCGATGCAGCATTAGAAGTTGGGCGGCGCGACCCGCGCCTTATTTGTATTTATTCATTGCTTTCGCGTTGCCTTCCTGCCCCGCTGGGAAGTTTTGAAACCACGAGAGCGAGGTGATCGAGTTAAGGTACTTGAAGGGTTCGGCAGGCGAGGGGGCGCGCCACTTAGCTGCTTTTTGGGGGTGGGTGGCGTTTTATTGATTTGCTTTTGCTTTCTGCCCCCCCCTTCCCCCATGGGATGCAGGATTCTGGAAGGAAAGAAGGGTGGCTGCTAAAGAGCGCACGAACTGTCAGAGAGAAGCCGCGATGCAGCCCGGAAGTGCACTGAACGGAAAAAGAGGTTTAGTGCAGACCTAAAAATTGATTTTAAAAAGCACGACCTTAATTGGCAGTGCCATCTCCATGCCATGTCAATTTGCTAATTGACAGAGGCAGGCTTCCGGGCTGGAGCCCCACATTTTTCCCTTGGTGCCCCGAACCTCCGCGAGCCGAGCCCCTTCCACCCTTCAGTCCGGGGGCCCTGAGCTTCCTCATTGCCCCTGAGCCCCCAGTGGAGTTGCATTTGGCCCACCCAGACATCCCCTCCAGCTGTCTCCAACCTTGAGTCTTTCTGCAGGAGTTTTTTCGCAGATCAAATACCCTCTTCCCTGTTTTTGCATCCCTTTAAGCAGGGGTGTTCCTACGAGACAGAAAGACACACACGAGGGAGGTGCGAGCATTCATAAAGCCGCATGTGCACAACTGGCCATTTTTCTGTCCTCTGGGCCTGAGTCCCAGATCTTTCTAGTCCTTCGTAGTCCTTGCCTCTAGTCCTGCCTAAACTGAGCGTTTTGGGCTTGGACTGCAGCTAAGAAGTCTCATTTAAAAGTAGCAATGGCTGCAGCTGACTTGATCGTGGCAGTGCTAACCAAGAAAAAGGGTTGTTTCACCTGGTAGATTAAACCTGTTTACTGAGCCGTCACTAGCTTTGGGGGCTGGAACACATCAGGGGATCAACCCCCGAATTGCATGGAACTGCCCTTCAGCCCGTCCGTCTGCCTGCCCCTGTGTGCTTTTTGGCACCATGGTGGGTGCAATGGACTGTATACTTTTCCCCTTCTAATGTCTCCTTGCGTTCTCTTTTTAAATGCAAAGAAAAAGATGCATGGAAAAACTCTGGAATATATTATCGATCAAAGTACTTGATTTTGTAGTGCTTTTGCTTATCAGGTTGCAGAATCATGTTTTCAGGCATCTGGAGAGATGATGGTAAAGGGGGGGGGCGTTGGGAGATGTGTTAAAGCTTAATTCTGTCTCCATTATTGGGATGTGCTTTTTATAATGAGCATCTTTTTTCCTCCTTTGTTCTTACCTAGGGGAAGTTATGAATGACTGGAAACCAGGAAGTGAAAACTTCATGCTGTCATAGGGAAATGGAGCAGATAGACAAAACAGGATGGCTTTCTTTTTCAGTTTAAATAGACCACCCTGCATTCTGCTTTAGGGAAAAAAGTATCCAAAGAAATATATAAAAAGGAATATAAGGCCAGTTTTCCTTCTGAGAGTAAAATCACCGGATCTCGTTTAAAGCAAGGAAGGCTAACGGGAATTATCTTGGAAAGAGCTATCAAGCATACTGTTATTTCCTGGAAGCTCGGTTCTGTCCCTCCTGCTCAGCTTTGCCCAGCTCAAATAATACTTAATAGACTTTTTCACTCTCACTGCACGTAAAGGTGCATATACTTACCAAGTAAGTTTGGGAACCGCTTGTCGTTGAATTTAATTTAATTTAAAACAGCGAGGTGTTTTTTCCGCTATGAATCTTTTATCCTATGGATACCAATGCTGAGTTAATAGATGAGGAAAACTGTTGGCGTCTTTTGGGCGTTGTGCTGGCACTGTGGACCATGGGTTGCATCCAGAGCATTAGCTGCAAATCCAAAGGCTTCCGGGAAAATATTACCGTCCTGGAAGTGAAGGCCTCCATTGACCCCGTGCCTACCAATATTGACGAGTCGTCGAGCGTGGTTCTGAGATACCGGACGCCACACTTCCGGGCTTCTGCACAAGTGCTTCTCCCGCCTCTCCCCAAGAAAGAGACCTGGATTGTGGGCTGGATCCAAGCCTGCAGCCACATGGAGTTCTACAACCACTATGGGGAACACGGAATGTGAGTGATGCTGTTTGCCGGGTGGTTGATGGACTAGCAAAGGGGCTAGACCTCATGGTGTGTTGGGGGAGCATGGATGGGCTGGGAGAATGCCGGGTCTCCTCAGGATGCAGCGTCCTCCTGGAGCCGGACCTCCTCCTCGGCCCGAGTCTGATTTTGAGAAGCTGGTAGGGGCTGCATTCTTGGGGAGAGGCTAGGAATACCAAAAAATGCTAGCATTGTTTAACTAAAAATGCTTTTTGCCAGGCAGTTGGTCTTGGGAGAGGTATTTCAGTCTTCAGTATGCTGGCAGGGAAATGCAGAAAAGGGGGGGACAAACACTCTCTGGGCATTTGGGGAACTCGGGGCGTGTAGCTGAGAGCCTCCAAGGGGCTGGATTGGGCCCCCAGCTGGCAGTTCCACCCCTGTGTTCTGTTGTATCCTTGTCGCCAGAGAAGAGCAAGGGAATGGCTGCCTGTTCACTCCTGTGGGAGACTGTGGGGTTGATGTGAGAAAGGCCAGTGCCATGTTAGCCATAATTAAGAACAAGAAATGCCACTGCCACGTTCATCCTTCCCTTGTAGAAATCTATGTGCATTTGGAATACTGTGTATAATTTGGGTCACTGCACCTGCAAAAGGATCATGTAGAGTATGAACAGCTCAGGAAGGGCGACTAAATTGATCAAAGAGCTTCAGTGACTCCCCTCTGAGGAAAGAACAGCATTTAGTATGCACAAAAGTCTTGTAAGAGATGGGCAAAGTTACACATGGTGTGAAGAAGGCGCATAGGGAGGCGTTTCCCTCTCCTTCCCTCAATGCTGGACCCTAAAGAGGTCACACCATGAAGCCAATAGGGACGAGATTATGGACAGAGGAAAGGAGGGGCTTCTTCGCACAGTATAGGGGTAAACGGTGCATTTCCACAAGGTGGAGCGATGGCCTCCAATTTGGACAGCTTTAGAAGAGGACTGGACCAGTTCATGGAGGAGAAGGCTATATCAAGCTACTAGTCCTCAAGGCTCTATGCTACCTCCAGTAGCAGAAACAGTTCTTCTGTTGAGAGCTTTTGCTAAAGAATGGTATATAATGGCATGCCTGTGTACATATGTGGCTGGGGAACATGGGCAAGAGGGTGCTGTGGCACTCCTGTTGACCTTACAGTTTTCCCTTGGGATCGCTGCTTGGCCACTGCAAACAGAATCTCGAACCCGATGGACCTTTCTCAGTCCCCTATACCACCAGGGTCCTATAAGCCAAGAGAATACTGGCTTCATTTTACTGCCGGGGGAGATAGAGAGATCGTATCTGGACCCAAGACCACCCAGGAACACCCAGTTCTGTTGTGTGATTTGAAACTGGGCAGTGACCCACCCTCATCGACCATCCCGGATCTACAGATCCGAGTTGCAACGATCAAGAACTGGCTTATCAGAGGAAAAGACCGGCGCCTGAAAGAAGGCATAATAATTTGGTTGCACGCAACCGCTGAAGGCTACCAAATGGTTACCCTTAGCAAGAGGATTTTCCTCTGCAACCTCCATGACTTGAGGAGGTCCATAATGAAGAAATGGGCCATGGGCTGGATCCAGATTTACACTGCAATTTACACTGCAAATTAAGTGAGAGCCAGTGTGGTGTAGTGGTTAATTGCATGGGACTGGGACTCAGGTGATCTGGGTTCGAGTCCCCACTCAGCCATGGAGCCCACTGGGTGACCCTGGGCCAGTCACAGACTCTCAGCCCAACCTTCCTCACAGGGTTGTTGTTGTGGGGATAAGATGGAGGAGGAGAATGATGTAAGCTGCCTTGAGCCCTTTGTGGGAAAAGGCAGGATAGACATTGCAAATGCATAATAGGGGGCATGCAATCCCCAATTTGTCCTGCTATGTCCGTGTTGGTCTGCCACAGGGCTTAATGCAGGGATGAGGAACCTCCGGCCCGTGGGCCTCACCTGGCCCACGGAGATTCGGGATGGCGGGGCTCGGTTTTCTCTCGGGGACGACGCCACGTGCACAGCACTGCGGGACAAGGGGTGGCTGAAACTCCCCCACAGGGGTGGCTTCAGGCGCAACGGCTCCAGTGCATGCAAATGGGGGTGTGGTGGAGCATGCCCCCCACAGATATCAGGGAGTGTCGTGTCTGCCCCACCCCAGTGAGTGCGGCTGTGCCTTAGACACGGGTCTCGGCCACGTACAACTAGGATACAGAGGGCAAGCTGCCAGACAGCCCTGTGTCACGAGACCACGGGGGCTCTCAGGAGAACTTTGGTTCAGGTCTTAAACGTTCGAGGAGTTTGCAGTTCCTTTTCTGACACCTGCTAAAAACAGGAAGCAGAAGCAGGGGGCTGCCCTTACTTTGGCGGAAAACAAAGAAGGCGGAGGCTTTGCTGGCAAACCAGCAGAGGGGAAGTGAAGATGGCCCAGGGCAGCAAAAGCCTGCTACTTGCATTGGATGAATTGTGAAGGGAAGTCTGAAAACTATTCTTAGCTATTTTAGCATGATGGTGCTTTATTCTCCTAGTCCTTGCAAGTTTTTTTTTTTTTTTGGCCTCTTTCACTTACAATATTTGGCCTCTCTTAGTAACAACAACGGTAGTAATAATAGACGTTTTCCCTTTTGTAACAAGTGAAATCACAATAAAACCGATGAGATAAAATGAAGACACAGTGCCAACAAAATGACACTTACAGGAGGCAAAAACCGCCTTGCAGGGAACTGGATAACAAAACACAGAAATGCTAAAGTATTTTTTTTTAACTGTGTTTGTTTTTCACTAGCCTGGCCCCTGCAAGGCAGGGCTGCCTGGTTCTTGCACAGCTGCTGCCTTAAACTTCACCCTGAGGTCCCCGTGCGGAAATGGGCAACTCATTTCAGCCGGAGGGCTGAATTCAGTTTTGGAAAGACTCTGAAACGGGGGTCGGGGGCACATTTGGATGGCGAGTGGGGAAAAAGGCAAACGGAGCAGCATGAAAAAACGTGCTCAGCCTATTTTAGCATTCCCCTTTCCCTGCCAGCATTTAAGCCGATGGAGAGGAATGTCCACCTTTTAGAATGTGATGGAAGAAAAGGCCGCAAAACACAGGGAAGCCACAAAACCATTCAGGGTTGGGGAAATTTATATGACGCTTTGGACACTTCAGCCTCTGATGGGCTCTTTGGCCGGGGGAGTCGAAGCCGTTGGAGCACTGCTCCCATCTGCCTTTTCCTGCCCCCCCTCCCCCCCCGCCCAGCCCACACTCAGATCTGGCCCGCTTCTCTGGGCTGCGCTGGACACTGGGTAACTTACTCCTTCTGTAAGTACACGAGAAAGCAAGTGAAGGAAAGGTCCATGCAGGCAGGATCCCACTAACTGGACAGGTTGTCCGTGTTGCCCAAGGTTTGGCCCCCGAGGAAATGCAGAAGGATTTCTTGGGAGGGGGATCAGTGGGACCTTTCCTGATTTTCACTGCATGCAGAAGAGGTTGCCCCCCACCCCCGGCAGTCAAAGGACAGTGATTTGGCACACAGATCCCAGAGGGAGCAGATGGCCGGGTGCGGGGGCCAACCACACGGATGTCGGCCAGATCGCAGTGTGTGTGGTGGGAGGGGGCCAGCAGGAGAGCTGGAAATGCAGCTTCGTGGATGGAAAGCCGCTACCCTGGTCAAGCAGCTAACCCAAAATAACACTGGGAGACTGGGGGAAAGGAGGAGGATTGGAGAACAGGTGGTGGGGATGCCTTACACCTCTCTGGGTGCTGCTGCTGTCCTAGAGTGGCTCTTCAAAGCCACAACAAAGTCACTAGTCCACAAGAAACAAAAGCGAAAGCAGCCTGTTGTCAGAGACCAAGGTGTGGCAACAGGTTAAACTTAGGAACGCCAGAACCTACACACTGTAATCCAGAGTATTAACCAATGTCCAATCCAAATTGCAAGCCAATAGCTGGTAAGCACAAACCAGGAGTCAAGAGCCAGAAATTCTGCACAAGGAGAGGTACCTGTGGAGCAGGAGGCGGTCCGGAGGGCAGGAAACACTTCCACAAGCCAGGAGACCTTCACTGTTGAGGAAGCGCCTGGAGGGAAGAGCGGTTCTTCCGTAGCCTCTCCCGCTGAGCTCCCAGGTGATGCTCGTAAGGGCCCTGATAGCGGCAGCCAGCTGTGGGTCCAATCCTGCAACCACCAGGGCTGCTATTGTGGCCTTCGGCCAGAAGGTGGAACCCTGAAGCTGCCTCAGATCCTGACACCTGCAAACTCACATTCCTCTTTTGGGGGTTGCTTTTACCCCCCACCCCACCTGGCTTTCTTCAGGCATAGAAATCGGGGTGCTGTGCATGCAGTTTCCAGCAGTTCTAGATCCAGAGCTGCTTGATCGGCTTTCGGAAAGGTGGCTTCTGCGTTGGCCTGTAGACCATGTGCCAGGAGGGGAGCTCCAATCGTCCTGAGGGAAAGGGACAGAGAAACGAAGGGGGGCTTTCGGGGTTCATTGTGAACATTCGCCCTGCTGGTTTCATGGAGGCAACAAAGGGCCCAAACAGGGAAGAGTCTTGGGCCTCATCCTGCCCTCTGGGGTGTGCGGGGAGGTCCCCTACCATGGCTTGGGCTGAGAGGGGTGCCACACCGGGGCTAGAACAGCGGGGCAAAAGATCTCTGGCTGAAATTCGGGGTCACTCCTGCTCAATGTAGCTGGTGATTCCGGGCTAAAAGGACCAGGATTGGGCCCTTTCAATGCATCCACGAGCAAGTTAGTCTCTTGTCCCGTTCCTGCTTTCGGCCAAGTGTTGATTTATGCATCGTTCAGATGTCTGTTGTGTTTGTCGTGCTGGATGGGACCTTGGGAGGTGAGCGCTGAAATCCGTGCTCGGCTGTAAAACTCAGAAGCCAGTCACTGCCTCTGAGCCCTGCCCTCCTCGCAGGGTTGTTGTGAGGATAAAATGGAGGGGAGGGGGATTATGACTGCTGAAGATGGGGTTTTCTCTGTGTGCACCTTCAGCCGCGCTCTCGTGAGCCGAGACGGCGGAGGTGCCCATATTGGGTTGATGCTCA